CTTCACCCTCCCCTCTTATAGTCAACTCTGGCCAAACTACGCCTTCTCTAGCCCAGACGCTCTACATCCCCACCCCTTTTGACGTCACCACCGTGGGTTCTTCCTTCTTAACTACAAAAGCGTATAGGACAAAGGCAGATCAAAGAGCGAACAGAGCAAGCGCTCACTGTCAACCCATTGTTTAAAGCATGATAAAAAAAAAATGAAAAAAAAAACTGAATTCAAAATGCTACACGCAATCGCGTGCAAAAAAAAAAATAGAAATTTTTTGCGCGATTGTTTTTTTTTATTGCACTATTTTTTTTAATTTAATTTTGTCGACCTGTCTTTCAATTTCCAAATAATTTTAAATTTTTTTTGCGTTAACGCATGTAGCATTTTAATTGAAGACAGGCGCCTAAAAACACTGGCGCACTCGCAACTAACATTTATTGAAAAAAAACGAATCCCTTATAAAGCCACGAAAAAACCCTTCTTCACGACTAGGCACGCGGTAGACCCTTTTCTGGAATATCAAATTTTTTTGTCGATAAGGTTGTAGACGGGTCACTTGTGCACATCTTGCCTTTTGCTTTGATTTTTAAAGCCTCGTGGACGTCTCAGGATATCTTATCAGGGTATCTGGCCAGAAATTTTGTGTCTTTAAATGACGGGGTGCACTGGCAGCGGCTGCGGTGTGTGAAAGCTTTAAGAAACAGGCAGCGCGCCTGCAAAAGGCTGGTTTCCCTCCGAGTGTTTTGGTGGAGGTGGCGGAAAGCCTAATCAAGAAGTTTAAAGGCATACAAAGGCAACCTAGAGAAAAAAGCACAGTTTGACCTGTTGTAATTTCGTACAAATACTCCGTTACCCACAACCTTAAAAGATAGCTGACCGGTACGACGTACCACTAGTTTTCTCGGCACCTAACACGCTGTTAAAACTGTGCCGCAAAATCCATACTTAAGTTGATGCTGCAGACAAATACATAACTAAACACTGCAAGAAATACACAGAAAGCACAACGGTAGTTGTTTGCGAAATTCCAATGTCATGCGTGTCAGTACACAACGGTCAGACTGGCCGATGCTACAACGATCGCGTACGCGAACATTACGTGGCCACACGAACAACCCCATCTGGACATCTGGCAACACACCGCAGCCACTGCCATTGGTCTCTGTCATTGAAAGACACAAAATTTCTGGCTAGATACCCAGATAAGATATCCGGGGAGCCCCATAAGGTTTTTGGAATCAAAGCAAAAAGCAAGATGTGCACAAGTGACACGCCTATAACTTTATCGACTAAAGAATTTGATTTTCTAGAAACAGGTCTACACCGTGCCTAGTCGCGACTAAGATTTTTTTCACGGCTAAATAAGCGAATCGTTTTTTCAAGAAATGTTAGTTGCGAGTGCGCCTGTGTTTACATCTCTCTTTGTCTTTGTGTTTTTCGGCGCCTGTCTTCGATCATTAACCAACTGACCCACATTGCCATCTTAATGTAGCATTTTAATTGAGTCTTCTCTCAGTTTCGTTTTTTATTTGATCGTGCATTAAACAATCAGTTGATAGTAAGCACTTGTCATGTTGGTATCTTTGTTCTTTCCTTCTGCATCGCGTTTTTCGCATTTAAGACGTTTACCCCACTCGCCCAACAATTGATTTTAGTTCAGCTTTTTGATTGTCATCTGCACGTGTAGAAAGAGGCAAAGAGAATGCGTCTTTGACGCGCGGCGGACGACGAGTTTCGCTATCACGAGGCGGAGGCCAAGCGACGGAGAGGGAAGGAACTGCACGACGTCGTTTCCTTCGCTGCGGCGACCGGCGAAGTTCAGCTCTAGATCTTTGGACAGTCCACTGACTACTCAGGCGATGAGTGCGAGAGACGGGATCGGATCAAAGTGGTCCCGGTTAAAATGGTCCCGGACAAAATGGTCCCGGACAAAATGGTTCCGGACAGAATGGTACCTACTGCAGCTTGGACAAAATGGTCCTAGCGTGGCAATATTTCTTTGCTGTTTGCAGGTTTTTATATTTTATACTCTCAATGGATATTAAAAACTTAGAAAATTGTTTGGGAAATACTCGTGAAGCACAACGCTAGCCCCTTTCTTATTTTAACTAAATTGCAGTCAAGTGGTTGGGCCAATCTGCAATAAATTAATACTTATATCCAATAAAAAATGGCACGCAGAAAAACGTGGAACGAGCACGAGGGATACAGAGACACAACTTTGGCATAGTCCAATAATAAACATTGCTCTGTATCCCCCCTTGTAGGCCCTTATTTTTTGCGCTTCTTTTTTTTCCCCATGCGAGGATACTGAACGCCATGGTTGCAGCTACGGAAGCCACCACCAGAACATCACTAAATACAGGTCTTGTCATCACCGATTTCGAGACTCCTGCTATGAACTCTGCACATGCTGTGTTCGGAGGAGACGTCACCACAAGAGGATGCTATTTTCATTTTCGCAAAAGCACAAGGCGAAAAATTCAAGAGCTGTCTCTGGTGTCCCTTTATAAGGAGAGCGACGTCTTTCGCCTGTTTGTTGGCATGATGAATGGACTGGCATTCCTCTCTTTGGACATTATCGCACGTGGCATTGAGTTTTTGAGGAATACAACTCCTCCAGAAGCGGGAGATTTGCTTGATACGAACCTCGAGAGTACCTATGGCACCGGTACGTATTGCAGAGTTCTCAGAAGGAATGGAACGCTGAGACTCCGAAGATGTGCACCTAAATTTCCTCAGAGGATTTGGAACATGCACGTCGCAACGATGACCGGCGGCCACAGGACTAACAACCTCGCGGAAGCCTGGGACAGGAACTTTTAAAGCATGGTTGGGCACTGCCATACCACCATTTGGAGGGCGATCCACGCTCTGCAGTCTCAACAATCCTCTGTCATTACGGTTATGACATAGAAAATGGTCATACATCTACCAAAAAAAAGGGCAAAAAAAATCTACAAGGAGATGCAGCAGCGGCTTGTAACTCTGTGCACGCAGTACGTGCAAGTGCTCCGCCCCTTGAACGACTTTTTGTGGGGTCTGGGTTATGTCAATACATTTTTGTATTAGGCCTCCGCTTCAGCAGCGTCGACTTCTTGTCTCTTAAGTGGTCCATGTATACGCTCATACTTGAGAAATCAATTTTTGATTTCTTTAATATACATTGTTCAGACAGAGCGATGTTTCTTAAGAAACGGAACACGGTGGTACGACAGGTCCATTTTAGAAAACCATGTCAAGAACCTGTAGTAGGTGTATGGTAATAATTTTCATTCCGGATATCGTTTGGAAGCTCGATAGCGCTAATTTGAAAACAGAATCTCCCGATAGAAGTATATTTATTTCACACGTGGAATGTATCGGTAGAAATCAAGATCCTTTGAGGAATCGAGCAACATGATATAGATAGAAGGGATTAAACATTTGTTTCAGAGGATTATAATGAAAACGTTATTATTATCCTTGAACGCGTGTCGAAATAAAGTTCGAAGTACCAAACCATTTTGCCCTATTAAGAACTCTCAAGGTATTGATAAATTCCCTTGGGACCATTTTGTCCGGGCTGGCTCATGGAACAATGTCCAGGACCATTTTGTCCGGGACCATTTCATCGAGGACCATTTCGTCCTACACCCCGAGAGACAGGTTGTAATATTTGAGGAATCTGACTGCCGCGCGATCTAAGCACGTCCTGTTCTGGACCAAAAGTTCCGCCGCCAAGACAAATAAAGTTTCAAAGTCTGGGGACAAAAAATTAATTGCGCTAGCAACTGTCTCTAATGCCGAATTTGAGCGCAGCTCTTGAGGAGGAGGAAGGGAGGGCACGAAGGTGAGAATATGCCCCTCCTTCTCCTCCGTACCCTTTCCTCCTCCTCGCCTGCTGCCTTCCCGTTTAGCGGGAAATGTTCGCCAAATTTCGCGCTAAATCTAGTGAAAATTTCTCCGCTAAGTTTAGTGAAGGAATTTAGCGAGCAATTTCCTGCTAAATTTAGTGGGGAAACTGAAGTGGTGTTGAGGTCACATGGCGTCAATTTTCCCGCTAAATATAGGGGAACATGTTTTCCGCTTAATTATTGGGAAAGTTTCTCAGAATGCAACACGCGCGGTTATGCCGCCGCCGCCGCCGCTCAACCCGGATTTGGGTGCGTAAGAGCTGCGCTATAATAATAAACATAAAAACTGCTTTTCAAAAGGGCAAAGTGCGAAACTTCTTCACTATGTTGCCGCGGATAGAAACGAAATGACAAGCGTTGAACAGAAAATGAAGGTTTAATAAGCGAACTTGCGCCAGAATGAATAGAAAGAACGAGCGCCGAGAAAACAGAAGGGAGCGTCGGAGGCTGCACCAGCGAGCGTCGCAATGTTGGCGTGACAGCTCTAAGAGCGAGAGTGTGAGTGTTAGTCGGCAAGGCTACTGTGCACCTTATATACTACACTAGGCATCTTGATCATTTCCGCTAGAACGTTCGAGTGTCGAACACTCGAGAGACTGACTCGGCGGGGTCCTTTTCACCTTCTTATATATTACCCTCGGTATCTCGAACATTCGCCCTAGAATGTTCGAGCGTCGCCCCTTTGGGGTAAGAGTAAACGCGAATCTTCTAGAAGTATACAGTAGCGTTTCCTCTAAGTTATGCCCATGGCAATATAGTCAGCTTACGTACGGCTTCTGCTAAGGCAACGATCCATCCCAAGCCGTCCAGCTTGGGATGGAATGTGACTACGCTTCCGCCTCCGGTCACGGCGATTTTTCTCGAAGATCACGGGAATCCCACACGACGTTGGACTGGATCCGATGGTCCGATGGTTCGTAGCATACACTGCGGCCTGACGTAAGGTGAAGCGGGCTATGAAAGAAAATCTACAAAAGCACATCTTTCAACTGCGCAAACTTTGTTTGGTTTGATTATTTCCTCTGTGCCAGTGACTCCACCCCGCAAATAAAAAAATTGGTGATAAAAAAGAAACTATGGTGCTATCCTTCTTTTTTTGCATGTGCTTACCCGCACAGATGGGGACCGGGCGGTCCCAGCGTCCCGCGTAGCAGGTGGCCACGGACTCCCCGAAGAGCGTGAACCCGGGCAGGCAGATGTACTTGGCCACTCGGCCCCGGAAGCGGAGCTTGGCCACACCATTGCGAAAGTAGAGCCGCGGGTTCGGGCACCGGGACACGCTGGCCCTGTCGCGGCGTCGGTAGCCGAAGCCGACGTCACCTGGAAACGGTAAACAGACAATCACATAGCAAAATCTTTTTTTTTTCGTCTTGTTTGGTTCGGGGCTCGTGGGTCTGTTCGACCTTATGCGAGAATCCCCACTTTCGCTTTATGTTTTTTTGCGTGCGTGTTTTTCCACGTGGCTTGAACCCACGTCAAATCAATGGCCATTATGGTAGCCTTGCGCTTGAGCGTGTACCTTTAATATTCTGCCTGACTATAACTTGGCAAACAGCAATGGCTACGGTCGTAGTGAACCGATCGGTGCGTCGGAGCGCGTCGGAGGGAAGCAGGTGACCTCACACTGCCTCATAAGTTTGCCGCGGTGCTGTCCAAGCCGCGGGCAGAAGGAGGTGTCACTTCTGAGTGACGGGCAAATCTTCCAAAGGAACAAGAACGATATCTAGGACAAATTAACGGGGTACCGGTTGAAAAAAAAGTTTCTTCTTCCCCGCATACCAACTGCTTGGGTTGTGCAACTTACTACAACGAAGTTATCAATCCCAATTATCATTACCTTCGGTTAAGACATCTGCACTTAAATTATTCGATTACTTGTAGACACAATTAATTGGCTTTTACTTGAAAAATGAACCGTAACTTCTTCGATTGCTTCAGATATTCGAATATGACAATTTTGTCTGTAGGTTTGAAAACGGATGTTTTGTACTGTCGATTCTTCTATTAGAATGGCCGAATTACAAACTACTCACCTTCTTAATCTCCCAATTTTAACCCGATAGCGTTAAGAAACTCGTGTCGCTAAAAATCGGACGTCGGTGGCGTTGGAAAAAAGTCGGCGTCGGTGGCGTGAGCGAAAATCCTGATTGATTGATAGGATCATGACGTCACAGCCACTTGACCTCGCACGAGAATTTGAAACAAGCCACGAACCTCATGTCGGACGTGACGTTACGCGTGAAATAAAAGTGATTTCAAAACATTACTTGTAATGTGAATGAAAGGTCGCCCCATGGCACAAATGATTACAATTTATACTGTAATTCATTTGCCTTAAAGAAAAATGTGAAGAATTTGAGGCGGGATTCCAAGCCACGACCCATCGGTTTCGAGACAGACAAGCTACTGACCAGGCCATGCAAGGCACGCTTGCATGGCGAATGAGAAGGCGATGTGCACGGGGCCCGATAGCGCTATAGCGTCCCGCTCTTAAAGGCGAAGCTTAAGTGCCCTCCAAGTTTTGGTTCACCATCCACCTGTTGGAGACTTGGTTCGAGGATTCCTTTGTAGGGAACTTGTACAGACAATGGGAACCATTGCAAAATAGAGCGGAAAATTTAGGCGGTTACAAATACTTTCAGTATTTCCAAAATAATTCGGACTACACTGCTAATTAAATTCGTAGAGTAGTATTCAAATGATTACAAACTTACTTTCGAATGTAATCGATTACAACTAATTTGATTACCTGTAATAAGTACCTAACAAGTCAGGTTACGCCCTCGCCCCTGTACCTTCGGTAAGAACTGTCACATGCTTCGGGTCCGAGGGCTCTTATTGCCTCGAAGGGGCTGTAGCGTTCCCCGCTTTGCCAAGTTACCGTGAAATAATGTTTAAAGCTATATTCGAACCGCGGGCCGTCGGTGAACCTCCGTAAACGGTATCCCCGCGGGCTAGATCAGGCAACGCCCCCGCGTGCATGCTGTAAAAATATTTTACTTTCCGCTTGTTTTATTTTCTCAAAACACAGCAACAAGGGTAGTCTACACCAGTTAATCCATCGTGCAAACAAAAACATACAAAAAACAGTGCATTTTTCTGGTTCGGTTTTATTTCGGCCTTAAGTTTATCTCCGTGCGGTTTTTTTGTTTTATTTCATTGCATTGCACCTATTTGACCCTCTGTTTTGCACAGGGCTCTTAGATAACCACCTTATGCAAAACCACCTGGGGTAAAATTAGATATTAAATAAAAGAATATGAAATGTTCACTGGGCTACTTTTATAACACTACAAACATAGAGTTAAATGCCGTGGAGAGTAGCAATGGTAGATCAAAAGGCATTGACTTTTTTCTGGGAACATCGTGCTTGGGTAGAATATTCAATTCATAGCTAGCGCATTCTAATAGAGAATACGTTATTTGATAGGTCCTAAATGTAACCAGTTGAATTTTGAGTAGATGATATCTGTGAGGGAAAGTATTTAACGCTGACGTACAGTATGCATCTTTTTTGAACCATGGTTTAAAGTGCTAAAACGACGAACACAAGAGAGAAGACAAACAGGGGCGCTACTGACAACTGTATATAAAAAAGGAGATAGACGTTTATACCGTATATCGAATCTGACACGAGGTCGTGTATGAAATACCCCGAACGTGTGAAAAATCTTGCGTTGGGCAAAACCGGAGGATGCACCAATGAGCGTTTGAGAGAGCATGCACAAGGTTTAATGACAAAAGATGGGGCACATATTCTCACGCACTGTAGCGCCTGCAAATTTGAGTCACGGTTCAGTGACACAAAGTTTCTGGGCAAAAGCAAGAGTCAAAGAGCACGCGATCTGCAAGATGCGTACTTTATCAAGAAAAGGGGCCACAATGCGTCAGCGACTCGTCGATTGCATTTTATATTGCCGAGATACGTTTTCCTTTTTTTTATTCATGTAAACTGCTTGAAGGGCGTATATCTCGGGGCATGCTTAGCCTAGGTGACGATAGGTGTGTCAACATGTTGATGTACTTCTATCTTCATTTTTCAAATGCAGTTGTTAGTAGCGCCAGTGTTTGTCTTCTCTCATGTGTTCGTCTTTTTAGCGCTTTTCACCATGGTTCAAGACAGTCATCACCAACTAGCCCAACAACAGGCACTTTCACAGTATGCACCTTTTTTTTTTACAGCGAAACTCTGTATGACTCGTTGGTCGGACTTTCTCGTGTCTGTGTCCTCACAAAAAAAAAAAAGAAAGAGAAGTTTATACATTACGCATACCATATACAGCACAGCATTCCGCTGCACTGAAGAACAAGCATAAAACAAGCATCCGAACCACATAATTCATGATAAGGCGCTCCTGATAACAATGCGAAGCACGTAGCGCTCATTGCATACGTTTCGCGTTAAAGATGATTGTTCCGCAAGCTGCCGCGGCGACGGCAGCTTGCGACGGTGTGAGTGACGTCACTTGCCTTTCATATATAAAACAAGAACCTGCCTAGAAACTGATTTCATTGTTGTTGCAGCACCGCTGTGGGTAGGCCACTCATGGTTAGGACTCCCGAGGAGCAGCGTGAATACCTATCTAGCATGTAAAATCTTAAAGCACAACTTGTATACGAGTATCGTGGGGAAATCTGCATTGGTTCTTTAATCCCCATCAGCATGGTTTTCAGAAAAGACTATTATGTGGAACACCATTATTCGATTTCAACCATGCCCTGGATATTGCTCTCTAGATAGCAACTATTATTAAATAGAGTACTTCTAGATTCTATGACAATGTTTGACACGGTGCCGCACATCTTACTAATAGACCGATCTCATGGCCAGTGTCATTACGCCACTACGGCCGCCATGCATCGTAGAAGCTGTAGTATTTCTGTACGCTCAAGAAAGCAGCTGGAAGTCTGCGCGAGCAGCACGAGGTGACACGAGCTTGTCTCGTGACTGGCGCTTGCCTCCTGTGAGCTACAGATATGGCGGCGTCACGCATGCGCGGAACGCTTGGAGAGATCGGTCTGTTAGAAACCTTAACAGCTGTAATATTAATACAGAAGTAGTTCCTGGGATGACCGAGTACCTGAGGCAACGGAGCCAGTTTGTCGTCGTAAGTTGTACATAGCCATCTACTGCAATAGTCACATGTATCACTGGGGTAGTTCCTATTGTGCCGCTTTTGTTTTTCTTATGTATTATTAGTACCAGTGAAGGGGCAGTGGCGCAGATGAGACCGTTTGCAAATGACGGCGTTTTATACGGGACCATTGCTTATGCTGAAGGTCATAAGGCAAGGTCCTAGCCGAATTAATATGTGGTGCTTTAAATTTCGTATGCAGTTAAATTTGGGGAAATCAATTCATGTCATACGCAAGGGGAAGCAACCCGTATGACATTTATAACGTCGTATTATCAAACGTATCTAACTATAAATAGTTGGGGGTAAATTATACAACTGACCTGAAATGACACCACCACTTTGATTACGTGGTGGCTAAGACTGGTAAAACGTTAGGAATCGTGTGACGTAATCCTCGAAACTTCAAACCATCAATCGTAATGATGGAAACAACAAAACCCGAAAGTTTCTCCATAAAGCGTGTGATATCAGTTCTAAAATAAGCATGGGTCGTTTGGGCTCGTGCTACAGTGGGTGCCAAGGGGAAACTAGAAAGGCTGAAAACTTAGCCGCTCGTCTTGTTACCGGAAACTATGACCGTCGATTTCAGCGGGACACACAGATAACTGCTTCTGTAAGATGCTCTGAACTGCTCTGAACTCGGAGAAAAATAGCTCCTTTGAAGTTCTTCCAGAGAATGTACACTCGTGAGCTGGCATACAAAGAAACATGTACGGACATAACGCGACCGCACTATCAATCGGACCGTGTTGACTATACTCAAAAGGCACAAGAATGTTCGTCTAAAACAGCAATACTTTGAATCTCCTTTTCTCCAGTAACTATGTATGACTGCAACCGATTGTCACGAGGAGCGAAATCTCGCGCTCTACAAATCAGCCCTTTTGAAATGTCTGCACCAAGATTCGTCCGGCATTGCTTGGTCACATTTTCTGGACATGTATTGTACATCCATTCGGAGTGAACTGGGCTCAGGTGATATTAAAAACGAGCCTAAAGTCAGTGTTCCGCGAGGACTCGGATCCAATGTGCTTCGTGTACGAGCAATGGGGAGCGCCAATGTTGCTTCACGGACATCTGAAAAGGGCCTAATAGCCCCTTTTTGAAAGTCCGTCAAGCACGCCTGGCGGTTTCAATTTGCCAGTATTCATTTGGTTGTGCATCGTAGCGCTGTGCGGTTGC